TTTTTTTAAATTAGCTTCTCAATCATCATCTGGAAGGAAACCATTCTGAGCAACATCATTAAAAACAGCTCTGATAAAGCACAGTCACTATTATGTATCATAAAGCAGGTCCACATATGAGTGAGTACATACCATGTTTGTCTTTTTGTGATGGGGTTACCTCGCTCAGAATGGTTTCTTCGAGTTCCGTCCATTTTCCTGCAAATTTCAGGATTCCATTGTTTTTTCTGCTGAGTAGTACTCCATTGTGTAAATGTACCACAATTTCTCTATCCATTCTTCAGTTGAGGGGCATCTAGGCTGCTTCCAGTTTCTGGCTATTACAAACAATGCTTCTATGAACATAGTTGAACAGATGTCCTTGTTATATGAATGTGCTTCTTTTGGGTATATGCCTAGGAGTGGAATTGCTGGATCTTGTGGTAGACTCATTCCCATTTTCCTGAGGAGTCGCCAAGATCAAGGAGAACCTGCAGCTGCTCTGCACAGCATGCTGACATTGGTATTTCAACACCCACAGAGAGACCTGCTTTTCTAGATAGAGTAACACAGCATCAGTCTCCTTTTTAAACCATTTTTTATTTGAATTACAAACAAGATTGAATTACATGACAATCCCAGTTCCCTTCTCCTTCCCTTCCTCCCCTACCACCCCACCTACTAAAACCCTACCTATCACATATCCTTTCTTCTAATCTACACCTGACTCAACCTTTCCGCTCCCTCATGACCTCTGCATTCTTCCTCTTCTCTTCTCATTCTCGTAGCTCCCTCCCCCCTCTTCCAGTGCTCTCAATTTGCTCAGGAGATCGACAGCATCAGTCTTAATGGACGTAAAAGAAATGGTTCTATAATGACTCAGATGGAGAATGTCAAGAAATTATATTTGAAAACCTGATATTTATTTCAGCTTATGAGAACAATATTATGGTCTCCAAAGCTTCCTTTGGAAGATATTGAGCCTCAAACTCAATACTGAAAAGAAAGAATGAACAAGTTATCTAAACTTCTCACTCAGTAAGTGAGGAAGTAAATAAACATCAAAGGGAAGAGGTTAAAACAAGACAAGAGAAATGGCATTTGTGTTTTTGATGTCTGGTGCTGGACATGCCCAGCACAGCGAGCACCCAGCCCTGGTCCTGTTGAAATAATGGGCTTTCTGGAGAACGAATTCATTTGGTGCAAACATTATTCATGTCACACCCAAGAAAAATATTCAGACCAAAACGCAATGATACTTGGAAAATCATTGTCTCAACTCCTCACTCCACATGTCTGTTCTGCCCACCCAGCAGTCCCACTGGCCCCCACACACTCCCAGTTAGAGCTCTTTGCCCCTGGAATTTCTCTGCCCTCCCTGCAATCTCCCTGGGCTTCTACATACCCACACTCCAACAGCTATCACCACCACAAAGTAGATGACAATGACAGAGATGTCAGCGGCATTATTGATGTTCTCTGACAGTGAAGACAGTTCTGAGCTGGCTGTGCTGGCACTGGCTGTCGGCGGTGCTGTCCCCATTGCAAGCGCTGGCACTTCTATGTATATGAGTACTGCGTTAATGATCAGCCTCGGGTTGGTGGGGAAAGATATCAGAGCCAGCTTCTGTCCCCAGGAGACCTTTAGACCTCTCCTATGTGTTCAGGCTCTCACCTTGCAATGACGAGTTGTGGCTTCAGTCAGAATTAGAAATCAAGGAGAAACGCCAGAGATGACAATGAGAATTAGAGGTGGAAAATGATAGGAGAAGTGGAAAGAAAAAAGTATTTAAGACAACTGGCCAGCACAAGGGAACACAGAGGAGAGATAAACGAAAATAAGGGAATAGAGACATAAAGAGAACAGGCCAAAGTCAGTTGGAATAGATAAATGGTATAGTTTCCTTATCAAACATGAAGTTCCTGGCTAAACTTTTCCCTTGAAACTGAAATTACCTAGAACAGGTGGTGTAAGTGATGTCATAGCCCCCAGCAGCCTGTGCAGAGAGAGTAAGGTGCTCCACCATATAGATCAATTCCAGTCTTCAACATGTGGATCTTCCATTTCACCAGCGCCATTTTACAATTTCAGTATTTTTATACTATAATGTGATCCTATTCTTCCTCTTCTCCAGGTCCTCACTGCTCATTCCCATCTCTCTACAATCCAACTTTATGTTCTCTCTCTCTCTCTCTCTCTCTCTCTCTCTCTCTCTCTCTCTCTCTCTCAAAACAAATAAGGAAAAACAACAAAAATCAAAAAACCAAAACAACAAAGCAGAGCCCATTTTGTTTTGACCGACTACTGGAGAGCGCGGAGGCTGCTCTGCAATGTGGCTGCCATACCCAGTGGCACCACATTGGAGACACGCCTTTCCTTCCCAGCAGGTATCCATTGCAAGTAGCTGTCCAGTCAGGACCAGGACTCTGTGTCTACTTCCCCTTTTCAGAGCTGGGATTTTGTCTGCTTTGGATCTCTGGAGATCTGGTCTATGCCATTGATTTGGCATTCTTCCCCTCATCTGCACCTATGATTCAAAGGTTTGCGTTGTTTTTTCCATGGTTTCTCACATTTCCTATATGTTTATTTTCTGTGGGTTTTCAAAATTGATTTTTCATATTTCTTGCTTATTTGGTCTAGATCCTGCATACGTCACGCTTGAGTACTGATAGTCTGTCTCTTGTTTGATTCGTTCTATTTCGAGGACTTTTCTTTGAGTTTTATAGTTGTTAGGTTTTTAACTCTATCTTCATTTCAGCTTGAGCCCTGCTCAGTGTCTCTGTCTCTTTATTGAATTTTGTTCTCAAGTCCTGGAGAGTCTTCATCATTTCTATCACCCTTACGTTTCTGTTTCCCTGGGCATCGCTTGGCCACTGATTGTTCTTTCTCCTGGATTTCATTTAGCTGTTTCCTGCTCTCTAACCTCGAGAAAATGCTTTCCAGATAAAGCAGGAAAGATTCAGTTTCTGAAGATACCACACATGTCAGACACAGGGTTTGGAGGAGTCAATCTGGAGGTGACTTAGAACACTCAAAACTGTTCGTTAGTTCTCATAGTTTTGCAAGGAAACCACAATAATAACCAGTCTACCAAGATATTCTTAAAGGCACAATAGTGGCACTTAGATCCTGGGGGTAACCAAACCCACCTATTTGAACTTAGGTCCAGTTCTGGAGGAGCTGCTATTGCTGGCTTTCTAGACTACTGTAGTCTCTAACTGCATTCTAATATCTATAGGTAAGCTTAGCTCTCATGCTTCCTCAAAGAAGGTTCTTTTTGTAGCAGAACAGAGTTCATTACAGAAAGTCAGAACCAGTCAAAATGTAAAGACTAATGGACCATGAAGTGCCTGTCCCCAATTAACATATTTGCAACACAACCTCTGCACTTGAGTCTCAGGGAACATTGTAGAAAGGGGGATTGTGGCAACATTCTAAGAACCAAGGGAACAAGACATCTGCTGGAAGAAAGCCTCTTCTTTTTTATTTTTATTTTTTATTTTTTTGTACAAATGTGACTTTGCCAAAGACTAGGATTTCTCATCTGTTAGCTCAGTCTTAATTATCACAAATCTATATATTTTATAAGACTTATAGAGGATGCCTTTCACTGGCACCCTCTCTTGCCGGTGGATCACATGGCGACTCTGGAGGAAGAGAGAAGGGGCCCACTTCCTTCTTCCCTTGTTTATGTATGAGTCTCCCTGATATGTCACTTCCTGCCTGGATCACCACTTCTTTACTACGTTTCCCAGAATCCTCTTTGACTCCTAGTCCTGCCTAACTGGGCTAAACCATACTTTATTCAACAATCAATAAGATGAACATACACAGAAGTATATTTCCCATCATCTCCTCTTTTCTGTCTAAATAGAAAGAAGGCTAACTTATCTTTTATAATAACTGAAGAAAACTATAACCATAACTATCTGTTTTCAACTCTATCAAAGACCACAGGAGGATAATATACAAACTCTAGAATTGACAGAGACATCTCGATACCTGGATGGTCACCCAAAGTTCCTCTGTAACGTTGGGGCATCCATCTTCAGCCTATAGGCCATAGTGTGTCTAGCACACTTTTCCATTTAAATAGGAACCCTTCAGTACTGTCTTGTTTTATAAGTTCAGCAGTTACTTTCTTGTGGGTCCTTCATGTCCAGGCAAGAGCAGTTTCTTGCTCAAATGGCTAATCTTGCCATGTTGAAAGTAAACTTCATAACAAGTTTCTTCGATGCCCATCCTCCTTTCTGACATAATTGGTGTGCCAGGAGCAGTTGTGTCTCACTCTAAAGAAAAACTCTAAACCATTTAAATGCCATATATTCTGTAGGTCTTTGAAAGGTTTGAAGAATACCTATCCATCTCAAATACATCTCTGTATATCTAGAAAACCTAACTAACCTAATGATAAGTTCTAACTATTATAGGTGACTATATAACCTGTATTTAATTATGCATATCATTTTAAAAGATCTGTATAAACACAACACCTAAACAAGAGGAGACATATACATATCACAAAATTGACCTTAAAGTTGTATCAATAAATGAAAATCCATACCAATGCAAAGTATTCATTCCTATATCCTATTCCCCATTTTTTTCTTTTAAAAAGAGATTGACTATGCTCGTTGCCATTTATAACCAACCACATTTAAATGAAAACAAACATTTATAAACAATATTTGGGGATTCAGGCATCGATCATTCTAAACTGCTTCCTGCTGATTGGGGGTGATTTCCATACCATGGGGATCATGATAAAACATAGAAATCTGACCAAGTCAGAAAGCCTCTTCTTAAAAAAAATGGACAGGTGTTGTGGAATAATCCTTTTGAAGACTGTAAAGATTTGTCACTCTTATTGGTTTAACAAAAAGTTGATTGGCCAGTAGCCAGTTGGGAAGTATAGGCGGGACAGCCAAACTAAGGGTGCTAGGATGAAGGAGGGCAGAGTCAGAGGTGTCACCAGCCAGATGCAGAACTAGTTGGACACGCAACATGGGATCGAGGTAAAAGCCGCATTGCAGAATGTAGATTAATAAACATGGTTTAATTTAAGTTATAAGAGCTGGCTAGTAACAAGCCTGAGGTATCAGCCAAACATTTATGGTGAATATTAAGTTTCTGAGTGATTATTTGGGAGCAGCTGCTAGCACAGGAAAACTCTGCCTACAGACATGAAGTTGCATGGCAAACATTTTCAGTGACCATGAACCAGGAACACAGCTTTAGGTGTTTCCCATGGAAGTATTTTCATGGGGGTTTTAGTTTTTTATAGAGCAAGGAAAACAATGTGAGTTTAAAATTCATTGGTGGGTACTATGTAAACTGAGGACTTGACTGCTCCAAGGTATATTGAGAAGGTTTTTGTTGTAAGTATGAGGGAGGGTACAGTCAGGGGCATCTGGAAGAATCCAGATCAGAGAGACAGCAAGAAGTAGATTGAACATGGCCAGCAGACTGGACTTGGCCATGAGAGGAAACAGGTTGGGGAGAGAGCAGGGGAAGAAGAGAACAGACCAAGGGAGGGGCAAAAGGGAGGTGGCCAAGAAGGGAAGACAAGAGAGTGCATGGCCAAAATGTCAGGATCATATGGGAATGGGAAGCTGGGGGAGGGGAAGCTCATGAGAGGAGAATTTTAGGGTGGGGTTGGTGTGAGAAGAGCTAAGAAGAGCCACAGGTACTGAGAGGACCTGGAGGCAAATGCATGCTTTGGTGCGCTGATAGGCACCACAGACAGACATTTTTCCGTTCAGACAGTGATGAAGAATGGGTCCTTTGGTAAAGGGGTAACGGGCGACAGAATTTCAGGGAGTGGGGTTTCATTTGGACCTGACATTCCAGCCTTTTGATGGCAATAAATGAGGGACACAACTCCTTTTGTAACTGCTTCTTTTTTGAAATTAGGGCAACACTGTCAGGGTCCGGGGAAAGGCCTGAAGAGAGGAGAGGAATGCAAACTGGGACATCTGTTTTGCTTGCTGCCCAGGTTCTCTGGGACCATGTAGGACTAGCAAAGCTCAGGCCACTTTGTGGCTGTCTGGAATGCTGGCCAAAGCAGGGGCTCAGACTGATAGGAAACTCATCAGACGTATCTAGTTTACTTCAGGGACATAGTACATGTACACAGGGAAAGGCTGCAGGTGATGACGTGTTCTGTTAGGACCCTGACAGCAGGCCAGGGTAAATGCCTGATACAAGTTATAGACACATTAGCATTCCCACTGTTTATAAACTGTTAAGTTTAAGCTTTAAAAATTGATTGCATATTTGATTGAGGATCCTTTAGCATCGAAACAAAGCTTTAAGCCATAACACAGACCACAGAGATACTTAGGAACTTTACATTCTTGGTCCTTTCACAGCGAACCTTTATAGAATATCACAGTTCCTCGTATGACTCAGTATATCCAAATAGCTAAAGTTTACCAAAGTTTGCAAAGACAAAAAGGCTAGACATACATCTTCAAGTCAGTTACTGTTACCATGAGCAGACCTTGGGATTTGTAAACCTTATTTATCAAACATATATTGTT